TTTGCTTTGTGCCTAGATTGCTCAACCTAATTTCTTCAAGGAAAATGCATTCTCGTTCACTTTTGCTACTTTTAGATAACTGCGATATTAAATAGTCTTCCTAAATTGGGAGGAATCATGTGCTCACATGTCCAGTCTCAGCAACGTAGATGTCAGGGCTTCTTTGCAAGTGGGTTTTCTGCATGTGATCTTGTTTCCTACAGGAGACTTAGACTCAGTAGATGAAATAGGAAGAACGTGCTACTGTACATAAAACCCTCTGTGCATTTGACACATCATGTATTTTGAGGACCATTTATCCATTTGTTATAGCTGTCAGCCTACACTAACTGCATGCTGGCTTTCCTTAACCACTCCCCCACATCTAATCCTTCAGGTTCAATTTGCTGTTCTAGAAAACATAGCTTAGACCAGGCGTCCTCAAACTACATCCCTCGGGCCACATGCGGGCTGCCTAGCACATTTATCTGGCCCTCCCAGTGTTTTTGCTGCTGCTGCCTGCCCTGCTTAGCAGCCGACTAGTCCCTGGCCCACAGTGCACATGTGTGGAATGTGCCCCGTACTCTCCAATGGCCCTCCAATGATCTGAGGGACAGTGAACTGGCTCCCTGTTTAAAAAGTTTGAGGACCCCTGGCTTACACCATTTTACCTTGCTCAACAAGCCCCCAAAACACCAGCACTTCAAGGCTGTGGTTCTACAATGGCCTCTTAGTTGGTACCACTCGGCCTCAATGTGTTTTTAAAGCATATAATAGGGTTAGCAATTAGTTCCGTCTAATAGTTCCGTCTCATAAGATTACTGGGATGAATACATGACTTAATACATATAAACCAATTAGAACCGTACCTTCCTCACACCTGCCTAGAATGGAGCCTTCATCAAGGTGATAAATTGGACTTCATCAAAATGTAAAACTTTTTCTTGGTGAAAGGCCCTGCTCAAGGAATGAAAAGCCAAGCTATAGGCTGGGAGAAAATATTTTCAAACATCCTATTTGAAAATGGACTCACATCTAGAATATATAAAGAACCCTCAAAGATCAACAGTAAAAGAAACCAGTCAACGCACCTAGAAAATGAGCAACAGACATTTCACCAAGCAGGACATACAGATGGCAAAGAAGCACATGAAAAGAAGTTCAACATTATTAGCTATTGGGGAAATGTAATTTAAAACCATGATAAGTTGTCACAACATACCTATTAGAACAGAAAAAAAAAAAAAGAATGATGACAATACAAATGCTAGTGAGGATGCAGAGAAACTAGGTCTCTCACACATTACTGCTGGTGGAATATAAAGTGGTATGGCCAGTTTGAAAAACAGTTTGCCAGTTTCTTACAAGACCAGACATATACTGTACTTATCAAACAATCTAGTGATTTCAAGTGCTTGAAATTTATCCCCCCAAAATTAAACCTTATTTCCACATAAAATCATGCACATGATGGGTATATACCCAAAAGAATTGGAAGCAAGGACTGAAAGAAATATGTGTACACCCACGTTCATAGCAGCATTATTTACAATAGCCAAAAAGTGGAAGCCGGGCGCGGTGGCTCACGCCTGTAATCCTAGCACTCTGGGAGGCTGAGGCGGGCGGATTGCTCGAGGTCAGGAGTTCGAAACCAGCCTGAGCAAGAGCGAGACCCCGTCTCTACTATAAATAGAAAGAAATTAATTGGCCAACTAATATATATAGAAAATTAGCCGGGCATGGTGGCGCATGCCTGTAGTCCCAGCTACTCGGGAGGCTGAGGCAGCAGGATTGCTTGAGCCCAGGAGTTTGAGGTTGCTGTGAGCTAGGCTGACGCCACGGCACTCACTCTAGCCTGGGCAACAAGCGAGACTCTGTCTCAAAAAAAAAAAAAAAAAAAAAAAAGTGGAAGTAATCCAAGTGTCCATCGACAGATGAGTGGATAAACAAAATGTGGTATATACATACAATGGAATATTTCTAAGCCTTAAAAAGGAAGGAAATTCTGACAAATGCTACACATGAATCAACCTTGAGGACACTATGCTAAGTGAAATGAGCCAGTCACAAAAGGGCAATACTGTATGAATGCACTTATATGAGGTACCCAAAGTAAAAACTAGTCAAACTCATAGAGACAGAAGGTAGAATGGTGGTTTCTAGGGGATGGGGAAGATGGGTATGGAGAGTTACTGTTTAATAGGTATAGAGTTTCAGTTTTGCAAGATGAAAAGAATTCTGTGGATAGATGGTAGTGATAGTAACACAACAATAAGAATGTACTTGATGCCACTGAATTGTATACTTAAAAATTGGTAAGATGTTATGTGTATTTTACAATTAAAATATTTTTTAAATATTAAAAAACATGTACACAAATGTTGATGGCAGCTTTGTTTGAAACAGCCAAAAATTAGAGACAAACTAATATCCTACAATGGGTGAATGGTTAACAAATGGTGGTACCGTGGAATATCATTCAGTAGTTAAAAGGAATAAATTATTGGTACATGTAACAACTTGGATAGACATCAAGGGTATTATGTTGAGTGAAAAAAGCCAACCTCAAAGGTTACATACTGTATAATTCCACTGATGTAATGTTCTCAAAATGATAAAATTATAGAGATCAGAAACAGATTAGTGGCTAAGGGTTAGCGAGAGAAGGGTTAGGCTAAGGGTTAGGAGAGAAGAGTTATGGGTATGACTCTAAGGCAGAAGCACAAGGGATCTTTGTGGAGATAGAACAGTTCTGTATCTTGAATGTGGTGGTGGTTATATGAATCTACACTTGTAACACAATTGCACAGACCTACACACATACAAACACACACACAAATGAGTGCATGTAAAACTGACAAAATCTGAATATGCTCTATGGATTGTACCAATATCAATTTCCTGGTTTTGATTTTGTGCTATAGTTGTGTAAGATATTATCATTGGGGAAAACTGCACGTAGGGTACGTGTGACCTCTCAGTACTATTTTTACAACTTGCTACAAATCTATAATTATTTCAAAGTTAAAAGTCAGAAACAAATAACAAACTAACCAAACCAAAATCAAACTTGCTATGGACCTTAATAGATTCTGAATGTTTGAAACCACTGGCCAGCAAGTTACCATGCGATCTGAGCTGCCCATCATGACCTGGATGTTGTCTGATCCATCAAGCAATAAAGTTGAGGGCGCACAGCAATACTCCATCATCAAATGGAAGTGGCACACACAAAACCGGACTTGAATAGGTCCTGAAGGAACAAGTAATTAATTGTGGGACTTCCTTATGCTCCTGGCCCCTACTTCTGCTACATTATCTTCTCTCTCTCAACCCCTACTCACAGCTTCCTGAGGAATTGGCTGATTAGATTCCTGAAGAAGAAAACTCTTGGGCTTGGTTTACACGTGGTTCTGCATGACACACAGGCACCTCCTGAAAGTGGACAGCTGCAGGACTACACTCCCACACTGGAAAGACTCTGAAGGACAGTGGAGTAGAGAAATCCTCCAAGCAGGAAGAAGTTAGAGCAGCACACCCAGTTGTTCATTTTGCCTGGTCAGAAGTACAGAACTATACTTTTTCATGGGCTGTGTCTAATGGCTTGGCTGAGTGGTCAAATACTTGAAAAGAGTATAATTAGAAAGTTAGTGACCAGGAAATCTGGAGAAGAGGTTTGTGGACAGACTTCAATGACTGGACACAGAACATGAAGGTTATTATGTCCAATATGAGTGCTTCCAAAAGGGTGTCCTCCACAGAGGAGGATTTTAATGAAGTGGGTAGAATAACCCATTCTGTATATGCCAGTCAGCCTCCTTCCCCAGCCAAATGGACTCCTGTATAAAGTCAGGGATGGAGGTTATGTATGGGCTCAACATGGACTTTCACTGGCCAGGCCAATCTGGCTATAGTCACTGCTGACTGCCCCATATTCCAACAGCAGAGACCAATATTGAGCCGCTGATATGGCACACTCCAGGAGGCTCAGCCAGCTTTCTGGTTGTAGGTTGATTACACTGGACCAGTTCTATCATGGCAGGTGCAGCACTTTGTCCTTACTGGAATAGACACTTTGGATATGGATTTACCCACTTCTGCCCATAATGCTTCTGCCAAAACAACTATCCATGGACTTACAGAATGCTTTATTCACTGCTATGGTATTTCATACAGCATTGCTTCTGACTTAGGAACTCATTCCACAGGAAATGAAGCGTGGCAATGGGTGGGTCCCTGCTCATAGCATTAACTGGTCTTACCATGTTCCCAATCATCCGGCTTGACCTGTGGGTGTATTCCAACACTATTCTCTTAATTTAGCCAATTTGAGATGTAAAAAGTCTATTGAAAACCAGATGCATCAAAAATAGGTATGAGTGAAATAGAGAAAAAGGAGAAAAGAGGAATCTTTGACTCTAGCTTGTCAACTATTTTTATCCTTCTATATGTTTGAAAATTTTTTTGCTAAACTTAAAAATTGGACACCTGCATGAGCAGGCTCCCCAGCCTCTCACAAGACAACTCTGTTGTTCCTCCTCTGTTGCAGGTATGTAGTTCAACTGGACCGGCAGAGATGGTATGAACTAAAGTCTGAGGTGAGTTAAAAAAAATAAATGAAAAAAAATGAATAAAAAACCATGGCCAAGCCTGAGATATGCATACGTGTGACCAAAGAACAGAATCTGAATGAACCCACAAATGCGTGTGAAATCCAAGGTAATTTAAGTGCTTAACCTAAGAAACCTCAGACTTTACTGGAGTTGGGTACAAGCAACTCCTCTACACTCCTTCCCTGTTTCATTCACTCCTTGGATCCTCATTGCACTGGGTCCCTTCCCGTGCACGTCTGCACGTCACAAGGGTCCAGAGCATCAGCTCAGGTAATCCCGAGGTCACCCCTCCCAGGGACCTCCCCGATGTCCCACGCCAGTCTCCGGTTTGATTTGGCCCGTCGCCCTCCCCGTCTCGCGCGAGAACCACTTGAACTAGCCCCGCCCCAGCCCCGGGTCCTAACGCAAGGCCCCCGTGGGGCTGTCCGCGGCCGCGCCGGACTCAGCCTACCCTGTGGCCTGTTCCGGCAACTCCTACCCCTGCCTGCGGTGCGGTGTGGCCCTCGGGCCTCGAGAATTCAGCCGCAGCCCGAGGCCCGCAGTTTGATCAGAAGCAGTCGCGGCAGGCGGTGGGGAAGGCGGTCTGGGTCGGAGGCTGAGACGCTGCTCGGGCTCCAGCATGGCGGCCGCGGTGCGCGCTGTGTGCCGCTTCCCTGCGCTGTGCGGCGGGTCTGCGGGTGAGAGCCGAGACGCCGGGAGCTGGGGCTCTGAGCAGAGCGGCAGCGGGGGTCGCCCGGGGTCTGCAGCTGCCCGGACGGAGGGAAGCGAGAAGTCGCAGCCTTTGGCTCCTCATGCCGGAGCCTGCTGTGTGACCTTGCGCGCGTCCTCTCCCTCTCTGGGTTAGGGAGCCCCTGTCTGTAAAGTGAGGGTGAACTGTACAGCATTTACCAAGGTTCCTTCCAGCGTACGAAGCCGCTCGTACGTGCTCGGCTGAGAGGAGCGGGAATCGGCAGGCATCGCCTTCCGGGGGAGAGCGACCCACAGGTTCATTTGGTGATGTCTGCTTGGGGTTCAAAGCAGAGGGCCGCCAGCTAGAAGCAGGAAAGGAAAAGAGCGGCCTTCCTGTTTGAGACGGATAGGATCAGCCGCGATCATTCTAGATTCCCTGCAAATCGGTGGCCTTATTTATGAAGACGGAAGCTGTTATTGTCCTTCCTCTCCCCTTGTTGGTTGTGTGCAACCCGAGGAAGAGATCTGCTGTCCTCCAGCATAACATTTGCCTTTAGGAACCGCTTCTTTTGCCTCTGCCTTTTCTATTTGCAGTATTTTACTGTTAAGTGCACAATCTGGCATTTGCAATTCCGAAGTCCAAAGACCCCTAAATACCGAAATTTTCTGTTTTGTAACTCATTTTGCTGCAAAATTTGACCTGAAATCATTTCGCGGAAAATCTGATGTGATTTTTGTCCATGTTGTGATCATCTCCTCCTTTTTCAAGTCCCCACTCAAATAGCACCTAGCTGTTGTAGCTTTCCTTCCATGAGCTCTTACTATGTCTAGGGACTTTTAAGAGTATTTTCCTCAGTTCATCTTCATAATGCCTTTATGGGGTAGATGGTTATTCCCATTTTATGGATGAGGGAATGAAGGCACACAGATCGGGAAACTTGCTCAAGGTTAGACTAGGAGGACGTCAGATTTTTTCACTCATGCTGCCTGGCTCTAAAGCCTGCTTTCTGTTTGTTTGCTTGGAAACAGCCTTATTGAGATATAATTCACATACCATACAATTCACCCATTTAAAGTGTACAATTCAGTGGTTTTTAGTATATTCACAGAGCTGTGCAACCATTACCATAGTCAGTTTTATAACATTTTTTTCACTCCAAAAAGCAAACCTGTACCTTTAAGCTATCACCACCCTATGCCACCCCATGAGTACCCAGCCCTAGACACCACTAATGTACTTTCTATCTCTATAGCTTGCCTGTTCTGGACATTCTATTTAAATAGAATAATATAGTATGTTGTCTGTTGTGACTGACTGACTTTCACTTAGCATAATGTCAGAGTTCATGTATGTTGTAGTATGTGTCAGTAAGTACTTCTTTCCTTATGGCTGAATAATATTCTGTTGAATAATGTGCCACATTTTGTTTATCCATTCATCATTTGGCTTGCTTTCACCTTTTGGCTATTACGTTTCATGTTGCCATAAACATTTGTGTGCAGTGTTTTTGTGTGTACATATGTTTTCTTTTCTCTGTGTGTATACCTGGGAATGAAATTACTGGATCAAGTGGAACTCCCTATTTAACTTTTTGAGACTGTTTCCCAAAGTAGCTGTACCATTTTACATTCCTACCAACAGTATATGAGGGCTCTGATTTCTACACATCCTTGCTAACACTTATTATTATCTGTTGTTTGATTATAGCCCTCCTAGTGGATGTGAAGTGGTAACAATTTGTGGTTTTGATTTGCATTTCCCTTATAGATGATAAGCATGTTTTCACATGCTCATTGGCCATTTATGTATGTTCTTTGGAGAAATGGGTATTCAAATCTTTTGCCCATTTTTAAGTTGGGTTGCCTTATTGTTGAATTGTAAGAGTTCTTTATATTTTCAAAATACAAGTCCCTTATCAGATATATGATTTGCAAAAATTTTTTCCTGTGTTATCTTTTCACTTTCTTGATGGTGTTTTTTTAAAGTGCACAAATTTTAAATTTTGATGAAGTCTGACTTTTTTTCTTTTTGTTTCTGTGATTTTGGTGTCTTATATAAGAAACCATTGCCAAATCCAAGGTCAGGATGATTTACCCCTATGTTTTCTCCTAAGAGTTTTATAGTTGTAGCTCTTACCTTTACATCTTTGTTCCATTTCATGTTAATTTTTATATATAGTGTGAGGTAGGGCTCCAACTTCATTCTTTTTTGTGTTGATATCCAGTTGTCCCAGTACCATCATCCCAGCACCATTTGTTGACAATGTTATTACCTCCCCATTGAGTGGTCTTGGTGCCCTTGTCAAAAATTGCTTGCCCATGAATGCTATCAGAGCCTGTTCATTGTGTGAAGGGGTACACTATACAGGCAGAGCCTAGTGCTGTAAGGGCTCCAGAGGGAAAGGGGGAGGCTTCGCTGAGAGGTAATGTTTCAGACAAACCAGGAGAGTCTGGTAAAGACACAGAAGTGTGCAAGAGCAGGGGTTCAAGACCGACTGTAGGTCTGGCATGGCCAAAGGGAGGGTGGATGGGAGAGAGAGAGGTGGGCATGAGGCTGGTGTGGAAGCTTGGGGCTATGGGGCAACCCTGTAGGCTGTGCTGAGTGGTTTGACTTTGTTCTGCAGGCAATAGGGAGGCAAAGAATGATAGATACATCAGGACTGTGAAGTGACCAGACCTGTTATTTTAGAAAGGAGGTGAATTACCGGGGGAGAGATTGAAAGTGGGGACCTATTAGGAGACTGTTATTCGCTGTGGCTGAGGGACAATAAGGCCTGAACAGAGAAAGGGCAGCGAGGCCATAGAAGAGGGTACAGCTGATAGGTGGATCGGTCTTTGAGGAGACTCTGTAGGGCTTGGTAACTGGTTGGATGTGAGGGTGAAGGGAACAGATGAGATGCGATGTCATCTACTTGGCAAGTGGTCACGGAGCCCAGAAATTACTCATTCACTTGTCTTAGTTCTTTTATTCTGTAGATGCAAATATTCTGTAGATGTTACTGTTTAAAATGTTCCTTTTCATGTAGAAATGTATCTTAATTTTTTTTATTTTTTTATTTGCAGTTCATTTATGGTCCAGGCAGCTTTCCCTAAATGCCTGTCCAGCAACTTCCATTTTGGCATTGAAGCCCACTCTCAGCAATGGTGAGATTCATTTATCTAACTACCTTTTCTCATAAGATTTAATGTTAGAATTGTTTCTATAGTTTATTTATTTATTTATTATTTTTTTAGAGGGCGGTGTCTCCCTCCGTCACCTAGGCTGGAGTGTGGTGGCACGATCTTAGCTTACTACAGCCTCTATAGCTTTGAACTCCTGGGCTCAAGGGATACTCCCGCCTTAGCCTCCCAAATAGCTGGGTTAATGGCATGCAGCACCATGCCCAACTAGTTTCTGTAGTTTTTAAAAATGTAAATGAATGAAGCACATTCTTTATAATGGAAATTCATAGGGTCTCAAGAGTATTTTTTGAATTTTTTATGATTGCAGTTGTTACAGCTCAAGACTTTAAAAAGTAATAGCTAAATAATCATTATTGAGTGATTACTATGTTTTAGGCTTCAAGCATGTTGTAGTGAGTAGTTAATCCTCATACCAGTTTTTTGGGGTTTTTTTTGACAGGTTTCTTTCTGTCTCTCAAGCTGGAGTACAGTGGCATGATCATACCTCACTGCAGTCTTGAGCTCCTGGGCATGGGCCACCACACCAGCTAATTGTTTTTTTTGGTATAGGCAGGGTTTCACTGTGTTGCCCAGGCAGGTCTTAAACTCCTGGCCTCGAGCCATCCTCCTGCATCGGCCTCCCAAAGTGCTGGGGTTATAAGTGTGAGAGCCACTGCACCTGGCCCTTCACACCAGTTTTTATGAGGGAGTTATTATTTCTATTTTATACATGATGGAGAGAGTCTCTGACAGGCTAAGTGACATGTTCAAGAGCATGTAGTAAATGGCAGGGCTGGGAGCTGAGCTGTCTGGATACTGTGGTGTCTTCTCGTATGTCACACAGGCCTTTCACTGCCATAGGACAGGCCATCTCTTTAGTCACTGTCTAGCAAGGAAGGAAGCCAATCCAGGCTGAGTCCATGTTGTATTTGTGATCCATTGAATCTTACCTTTTCCACAGGGACTATGGTTAGAACAGAACTGAAATCTTGTATTGAGTGCCAGGCTTTACTTTTAGTCTTACTCCCTTTCCTCATCTTCACTGCACCTATGAGATGCTTTGCACCTTAGTTGAGAGGTCCTGCAGAGGAATTTGCAGACCTGGGCTCTTCCCTTTATTTATCTGTTCACTTGTTGACTGGTTGGTTCATTCATTCATAAACTACTTCTTCTGCCCTTTCCTGTGAGCCAGGCAGTTTCCCTAACCTGAGCTGCTGTGGGGCCTGGAGAAGGCTTCTGTGAGGAAAGCCAGAGAGGAGCACTCTTGGCTGAGGGGATAGCCCCGGAGAAGGCCCTGGGTGGGGTGAGCACAGAGCTAGCTGACTGTTGGAATGAAGGCAGAATTCTCTGCTCCGCCACCTCCTGTCTTTGCAACCAGGTACAGACATCACCCCTTGGAGCCTCGGTTTCCTCATCTATAAATTAGGGATAGTAGTCTTTACTTTGAATTGTTGTATTATTTTTTTAAAATATTGAACTTCCAAAGAATACAAAAAGGTTTATATGTTAAGACCAATTCTCTTTCCTACCCCTCCGAATCGTCCACTGACACTTTAAATTCTTTTAGTTTTCTTCTGGTTGTATTTCCCAATGCATTGTATATATTTTATTTTATTAACATTGTTATCTAAGTAAAAAGTTAACTCTTACTCTGTTGTCTCTACCTTCTCCTTATGTAGTTATAAGCACAATTTTGTTTGAATCTCTGGGCAGTGTTTTCATTATTAAGGTTATGTGTATATTCACAGCTGAGTTAGGTAGTAGTAGTCTATTATTATGTTTTCCTACAATATTTTCTTTTTCCTAGAATTAATAATTGCCTTGTTTTTAAAATACTGCTTAATTTCGTTAGTACCCATTACTATATTTTTCTAAATGCTGCAACAGATTGGTTAGAAACAGCAATAATTTTTGTAAAATCTCTCATACACATCACTGGTTACTGGTTTGATTTAATAGATGAAACTTAAATTAGAAGGAAGTTCATGGTGAAAACTGTTAAAACACTGAAATGACACCCTTGAGGGCAGACTTTGTGTCTGAGGAGGCTTCCACATGAGGAGGCTTCCTGGGCTTAGCCCTCTTCAGACTCAAGGAAACAGGGACTTCATGGTCTGAAATTAATAATTCAAAGGCTCAGAGCAAAAGTGATAATTGTTCATGAATGGGTGATAATCTGTGACTGAGTGATTTAACACAAGCTGCTGCCATCTCCTGTTTTAAAAATCACATTTTAAAGTCAATTTTAGTAACAGTGTATTAAAAGTAACTATTTCTAAACTCTGAAGTCAGTTTCTTTCTGCCTTTGACAATTAGACCTTTTTAGGCTAAGTACAGTATTATCTAGGAATAGTATTTCAGTCTTTTGTAAAAGATTAAAGAATTCTAAATCTGATAGTGATTTTTATACTTCTTGAAGTATATCAAAGATTGCAGTGTTAAACAATGCAAGGTTAAATATCTTAATTGATATTAAATTAATATTAACTAAGATATTTTATTGAAAATTAAAGGGTATACAAGAAAAGCTAAAATGTGCCCTGGATAATGGGATTTGGAATGACAGTGGAAGTCCTGAATATATTTAAAATGAAAAGCCAGTATTTTCTGCTACTTTCTGTTGACTGATTCTGTAAGTGAGCTCATGGATCTAGAGGGGCCTCAGTTCGTCATCCGAGGTTGGCCTCCATGCAGTTGAGTAATTAATATGGAATTGGAATTGGTGTTTAAATCCCATCTTCTAACTAGTCTTGTGATATAATACTTTTCTCACTTGTGCTTAACCAAATTCTTACTACCATTTGGGGTCACTTCTAGTGTGTGGCCCTGTGGGGTGATGAAGCAGCTGTTACTGTCTTCATAAATTTGCATAGACTTGAAAATAGCTGTTTTCACTCTTTGGTTTTCCATTTTTCAAGCCCAATATCCTTAAATAACCTCTTTTCTTTCAAGGGCTGTTTTAATTCCCTTCATCACTTCTCTTGTAGTCGTTAGCCTCTCTATTGAAATGTAAAGCTCAAAAGTGTTTGCCATGTTTTTGTGAGCAGTATTCCCATTTCCTCTCATCTACTGATTCTTCTCACCCTGCCCTCTTCCAGAAATCTCCATCCCATGGGATTGATCAAATGGCTGTCTCTAAGACATACCTATTTACAAACATTTTCATACAGTGAAAAAAATTCCAGAAAGTATAAAAAAGTAAATCTGTCATATCCAATATTAAATGTGTCAGTTTTCTTCCCTAGAGACAACCATTATTAGCAGTTTCTTTTTTTTTTTTTTTTTTACAGAGTCTCACTTTGTTGCCCAGGCTAGAGTGAGTGCCGTGGCGTCAGCCTGGCTCACAGCAACCTCAATCTCCGGGGCTAAGCGATCCTACTGCCTCAGCCTCCCGAGTAGCTGGGACTACAGGCATGCGCCACCATGCCCGGCTAATTTTTTGTATATATATTTTTAGTTGGTCAATTAATTTATTTCTATTTTTGGTAGAGACGGGATCTCACTCAGGCTGGTTTCGAACTCCTGACCTTGAGCAATCCGCCCGCCTCGGCCTCCCAAAGTGCTAGGATTACAGGCGTGAGCCACCACGCCCGGCCTAGCAGTTTCTTGAGTATACTTCTGGAGTTAGTCTATACAATAAATATATTCACGCGCCCCTCCTTGTTTTTGAAACATGAAGAGTAGGGTAATCTGCATGCTGTCATGCACGCTGCTCTTCTGACCCCGTTAGTTACAGGTCTTTCCATGTCAGTCCATTGCCTAGCTGCGTATAGCAGAGGGCACCTTTTGCCCAGAGTAGACTGCTGAACTTGGGTTGGAAGACACAGCACAAAAACCCTGATGTGGACAGATCTACTTGGTTAGACAGCTGTACCCATTGTGGACAGATCTACTTGGTTAGACAGCTGTACCCATTGTGGACAGATCTACTTGGTTAGACAGCTGTACCCATTGTGTGGATGAACAATAACTTCTCCAACTAGGATGGGCATTTAGGTTGTTATTGATCAAAAATTTTGTTTCATTTTTTAAAGAAAGACTGTCTTCAAAGTCTGATTCTTAAAAATCACATTTTTATTAGTGACGATTATTTGATGCTAGCAGTATTCATCCACAGCCAGGGAGCGTCTAACTCAAACTTTTATTCCGTCTGCCTACAGGTCCTTTGTCATTGCTGGCAACCAGAGACAACCGTCAGTACACCAGCTTGAGCCACGCGCTGCAGGCACAGTGCTGTATTTCTTCTCCCAGTGACTTGATGGGCCAGCAGTATAGACCATATAGTTTCTTCACTAAATGTACGTAGAATGGCCACAGTTAACATTTTCGTGATGAGTTTATGATGTATATTAAAATATAAATGTTCCTTAATGTGTCTCCTAGAATTATCTCACATGGTACCAGTTGTACTTACACTTTGGGAAGCACTAGTTTACTTTAATCCCCTCATTTAGGGCATCTGAGGCCTCATTGGTGTTGATTCATGGCTTAGATCCCCTGCTGATTTAGGTTTGCACCAAGAATACGCCCTGTTTTTAGTTGTGCCTCAGTTGAGGATTTAGAACATCTAATCAGGAAAAGTTAATTTTAAGGAATCATTGTTTGCCAATGCTACTCTTATTTGTGATGGTATTTGGGAGAGTTAAATCTGAACTGAGAGTAGCTCCTCAGATAATAAATGGTGATTGAATTCACAACTCAGCATTAGGAAGATTAAAAGAAATTAGGATTATAAAGGCAATTAATGATTAGTTTAGAATATTAAGTAAATATGGGAAACTCAAAAAGGAGAAAAGCACCTGCATTCCTCCTACTATGAAAAACTGGGTTTGCTGACTTTTTCATGCAACAGTGTATTGCACGTTTTCCCATAGGCTTCTCCAGTGCAATGTTATGACCGTAGAGTATTTCTTTGTATGGAGACAAATCACTTCAATTTGGAATAACTAGGCCATTTGTGTAGCAATGCAGAAAAGAGGATCAGGTGCTGGGGGATTAAGTCATTTAGGTTTAGTTATACCTGCGGATTTAGGTGCAGAGAAAAGAGAGGTGGATAGAGTTGGGGCCTACAGAGTCTCTTCCTTCAGTGCCCATAGCCCCACTATTTTTTAAGAGTTTTGTATTCCAAAAAATATAAAATATATTTTAGAGGGCATATTAAATGTACAGGTCTTGGGAATTTTTATTTTTTTAACAGTCCTTTCCCTGTTCTAAAAAGCCTTTTCTCTAACTCTTCTTGTTCTAGAGGTGCCCCTTATCCTCTGAGACCCCTGCCTTCATGGTTGTCCCACACCTGCCTCTGACTCTCCATTAGCCCATGTTCATCCTCAATTATATGACTCAGTCCCCTTGTGAGTTTATTGTTCCCAAGTCATATTGAGATTAGTTCCAATGGGGCACTAACTAGACTGGGGCTAGTTTTTGCTATTTTGGTAGGAAATAGTCTTTGTTTTTCTAAATCTCCAAGAAATAAAATGACACAATTTTTCAAAACTCATTAAGATTTCCTGAGAATATTGGACATTGTACTTGTAAACTTATCTCTTTGCTACAGAGGGTCCACCATTTAAATCCTTTTGATTCAAATTAGCAAGGAGTGTTCCTTAGCATGATTAAGAGAGTAGTAATAACTCAGTATACCAAATTGTACACTACAGTGGATTTTATGTATATGTTGTATGTATATATGTAAAAGATGAACCTTATTTTTTAAAACTATGATAGTTAACAGGTGTACATATTAGCCTTCCTACTACTTACACTGTTACAGAAAATAACAGAAAGAGTTGACATAGTAAATCTATTCTAACTAGCCTTTTTTGGTTTATTAGAATTTTGAACCTGATGTAAAAATAGTAAAATCTGTGTTAAAAACTTAATTCAGCTTGCAGCCATTCAAAAATCATGTTCGTGAATAACATTTAAGAATATGAGAAAAGGCTCACAATGTAATATTAAATAAAAAGGATACAATATTACACATTTATATAATTTCAGTTTTGTTTAAAACAAGCATATGTACTCATGTATGCGTGCATGTATAAGGAAAAAGGCAGAATATACATTCTGATCTAACAGTGGTAATGGGATTATAATTATATTATTCTGTTTCCCAGATTTTTAAAGATAATTTTATAATCTGAAAAAGGATTAAAACATTTTAAATTGAGTAATGGCATTCAAAAGTTGGCTAATAACTTGCTGTCTTTTTCAAATGTAGCTAGAAATTTTATTGTTCTCTTATGTAAAAAAAAAAGAGCTAAACTCTTAACTCAGTCTTTTACAGTTTTGTCTCAATGTCAGGTTCCTTTTAAAATTGTATCTCTTAGTCTTTTTTTTTATGAAATAGGGTCTTGTTTTGTCACCCAGGCTAGACTGCCATGGCATTGGCCTAGCTTACTTACAGCGACCTCAAACTCCTGGGTTCAAGTGATTCTCCTACCTCAGCCTCCTGAGTAGCTGGGACCACCAGCTACGGGGGGTTCGTGCCACCATGGCTGGCTAATTTTTTCTATTTTTAGTAGAGATGGGGTCTTGTTCTTGCTCAGGCTGGTCTCAAACTCCTGACCTCAAGTGATCCTCCTGCCTTGGCCTCTCAGAGTGCTAGGATCCCTTTTAGTCTTAATGAGTAATTTACTTATTCTGATCCTAAGTGAAGGAAACTGTAATTGTTTGACCTTTTAGTATGCCTCCGTTACAAGTGAACTTTCAAGGTTTTCATGCCATTTATAGGTACCAAAGCAGTTTTGGGACAATCAGATCTTTAATGAGAGTGTAGTTTGAGGTTAGTACTTTTATTTTGAAACTGTGGTCCTTTTAAGTGAATTAGTGTTGGCCTAAAATTTGAACTTAATCCTTTGTTCTGATCAGGGCTGTACAAAGCAGCATGTGATGTGGAATCTTACTTTTCTGAGTTTCACTTATGAAGACCAGCTGTAATATGTGTGTGTGTTTTGAAAAATTGGATACTCTACAGGTATAAAACATTTAAAAATACTATAAATCGAAAAATTTTCTCTTTTTATTTTATCTATCTGGAGGATCGAGGTAGGCTAGGGTCTTTTAGGAAGCAAGGATGTAGAACTTTTAACCCCTAAGGGTTCATAAAAGGAGAATGAAGGTACTGTATAGATGCTTTTCTGTACATATTTGTCTTCTATATTATGTTTAGTATTTCAGGAATATACATATTTATGTATCTTAGATTTTTGACTAATACAGCATTTGTGTCACTCTGATTCTTTATTAAATAAATTTTTAAGTAACAATTGATTTTATAACCATAGATTCTGTTCCAGATTTATGGGTTCAAATTGAAGTGTCGATTCTTATTTGGACTAAGAAACCTATATTTAGGAAGGATAGTTGATGATCTTATTGGTTATAATGGAGGTAAGAGGACAGGGAAGAGATCTGTATTGCAATTGATAAATGTCAGGGGAAAAAACCTCCTGGTAAGTAACTGGAATTTAAATGTTGGCTGTCTTTTGTGAAGGAAAGTAACAGAATTGTCTCCTTTTTGTCTTTCTAAATGTATACAAAGAATGATTTAATTTTGCTTTTATTACCTTAATGAAATGGGTAAACCTGGCTGCTTCTGGTCTTTTTATTCAATAGGAGACCATAGATCAGTACTTGAAAATTACAGAGTTAAAAATAAAAACCCTGTTTCATTGCAGTGACAGCAGATGAGCTATGGAAAGGTGCTCTAGCAGAGAGTGGTGCTGGAGCAAGAAAAGGAAGAGGCAAAAGAACTAAGAAAAAGAGAAGAAAGGATTTGAACAGGGGTCAGATCATTGGTGAAGGTAAACTTATTTTAAAAAACAGTTAAAGTACTTTTCAAGCTTTTTCCCCCAACTTTTATAGGTATTTTACAAACTAGAAGGATCAAAATATATGGTTTTAGAATTTAACCAAGTAACTTCCTAATTGCTCCAGAATTCTGGGGGAGGAAAATCCCATAGAAAGGGTTTCATTCATTCAGTTATTCATTCAACAGTCACTAAATATCCCTGTGTGGCATCTTTTATACCAGTCCCTGCTTTCAAAGAGCTTACAATTCAGTGAAAGAAAATAAATGGAGAGTTGGGAAATTTTCTTTGCAAAGGGAAGATAGTAAATATTTTCAGCTTTGTAAATTAAATGGTCTGTTTTGCAACTATTCAACTCTAACGTTGTAGCACAAAAGTAGCCATAGACAATACATAATTGAATGGACATAATTGTGTTCCAGTAAAACCTTACTTACAAAAACATTGATGGGCTGGATTTGGCCTGTGGGCCTTAGTTTGCTGACCCCTATAACGCATGATTGTTTATATTTATGCTTTTTGAAGAATATAAATAGTGTAGTGTACTTAAATCAGTCCATTTTGTACTGTGGTTGCTGACAGATCATCTTTTAGGAATAAAGAAAACACCTTGCACTGCACTTCTAGTATCGTATGTCTACTTGCATGCTTTTCTTTAAACTTACCTTATATCTTAGTTTATTTTTTTTAACACTTTTTAAATAAGAATCACATAGGAGTACCTTCTCAGTGAAAAAATGCAAAGATTCTAGAGAAACCTAAAGTCTCCCTTGATGTCCCTTCTGTCTCCCCTAGTCCTATTTTCTTCCTGAGGAAACTACCAGTCTCATGTTGGTGTGTTTCCTTCAGTATTTTTAATGCTTTTCTGTACATAAATGCCCTAAAAGAAATATATATTTTCATCTTCTGAAAAGTAATTAAATTATATCATATGGTACAAGCTGTCTTATAATTTGCATTTTTCACTCATTAGTAGATCTTGAGAATCATTCTACATCAGAATCTAGAGAGCTACCTTGTTCTTTCTATTTAGTACAGAATGTTTTATATGTTGGATGTGCCAGAGTTCATTTAACCATTCCACTACTGCTGGACATTTGGATTACTTGCATTTTTTGCCTTTACAAATAACATTTCAGTGGACATCCTTGTCCAAACACACATATGCTGTGTATGTGTATGTGAGTGTTTCTCTAGGTAATACCATGAAGTGGAATTACTAGCTATCAGGGTACATAGGCACATTTAAAATTTTTATAGTGGCAAGTGACCTGCCCAAGTGATGCTACTTAGCTTAAGTTCCTACGAATAGTGTGTCATCATCTGTACACACATTGCCTAGCATTTTAACACTTGAAATATGAATGCTTTCTTAAAATTCTTACTTGTTTATATTGTTATACCTTCAGGGCGTCGTGGTTTCCTGTGGCCTGGTCTGAATGTCCCTCTTATGAAAAATGGAGCAGTTCAGACCATTGCCCAAAGAAGCAAAGAAGAGCAGGAGAAGGTGGAGGCTGACATGGTACAGCAGAGAGAAGAGTGGGAACGGAAGAGGAAGATGAAGGTTAAACGGGAGCGAGGATGGAGCGGGAATTCATGGGGCGGCGTCAGTCTTGGCCCTCCTGACCCTGGTCCCAATGGAGGTAGCAGAGTCTTAGTTTTGCTTGCCTTTGTGACAGAGAGAATACTTATAGTTTAGAATTTCTTTAAAAGGATATTTATTTTTTTGTTTAGACTACCTTTTTCCATGAAAGGATGAGCATCACATTATTAACCCAACTGTATTTTATGTACTATTAGAGGTCCATAATAATGAAGTAGTATTCCAACAGGATGGAAAGCACTGGGTTCCTAGTGTCTTTATTAGGTGGCTTCTCAAAGCCTTAAGTGTCATGTGCATTTTGAATCTATAGGATCTGCTCATAGGATGCAATGTTTCCCAAACACAGTTGGCTGCAGGGGTACCTATGGAGCGTTATGGCTTGGGGATGCTGTTTCAGCAGTAGAAGTGAACAAATCAAATAGCTGTCATTAAACCTCATAAAAACACACACAAACAAAAGTTGATAATACTTAGGCCAAATTAGAAAACAAAATTTTTCCCCTCTCCTGAATATATAAAGAAGTAAAAATCATCTGAAAAACTTGTTCTTGCTAATGAATGGGAGAAGAGGAAATAGGCAAAAGTTTGGCTGCTTTCTTAAGAATTTTGACTTAAAGAGGAGGGGAGAGGTTGAGATGGAGTGATTCAGGCAAACATGCTTAGAACTGAGCAAAATGCTTTAGTTGAGGGATGAAGGAATGGGACGGAGAAAACAAACTTCATGAACAAAATTCAAGTCCCTTGCGACCAGCCTGAGCAAGAGTGAGACCCCATCTGTACTAAAAATAGAAAGAAATTAATTGGCAAAATATATAATTAATTAATTAGTTAATTAATTGGCCACTAATATATATAGAAAAAAAATTGGCTGGGCATGGTGCGCATGCCTGTAGTCCCAGCTACTCAGGAGGCTGAGGCAGGAGGGTTGCTTGAGCCCAGGAGTTTGAGGTTGCTGCGAACCCGGCTGATGCCACAGCACTCTAGCCCGGGCAACGTCTCAAAAAAAAAAAAAAAAATTAAAATTAAAGTCCCCAATGAGGGCCCAGATCCCCAGTCCAGATAAATGGGCTAACTTGTTGACAGAAGGAAGGGCAGGGTACAGATTCAGTTGAGCCTATATTGTTGGTAGTGGAAAGGTGAGGGTATTATATGGTGTCTGGTTGCTGCAGTTCATGTGTAAGGAAGAGGTGGAGTCGTTTTCTAAAAATGAGATAAGGGCATTGATGATCATGACCACTGGAATATTTCTTTATGGAACAGTATAGTATATCTGGGACTGGCTTCAAAATTATCCAGTAGAGTGGGAATTGGGCAGAATTTAGAGGAAAGAAGATTGGCCATGAGTTATTAAAGCTGACTAATGAGTACATAAGCTTTCATTCTGCTGTGCTATATTTGTATATGATTAAAATTTTTTATAGTTAAAGTTTAAAGAAAATAAAAGCACATAGAGACTGAATTGGCTACTTAGTGAGGAAAGAAAGACCTAAGTAAAAAAGACATAAAAGGCCAACAGGCAGAGGGAGAACTTGATTGAATTGGAAACCGTGAATTTTTAGTGGCCTCTGTGTGTGCTTTGCTTGGGCTTCTCTCCAGCTACACCCAGCAGGTCAAGTGTAGCTGCATTGATTCAGGCCAGGATAGTTGGGTAGAGTGAGAAAAGGGTGAGGAAGTTGGGAACATTGACAAAATCTAGTGGAAATGATGGACTGGTGTCTTGGCGGAGTGGGAGGGGCCGTGAAGATCGGAGGGGACCAGAAGGGAAAGCAGTGACTGAGGGTCTGAAGGTGCTAAGGAGCTGATGAGTGAGTGCGCTGGAGGAGGAGGGGAGGAGGATGCAGTTGGGGAGATAAGTGACTGAGTGTATGAATCAGTGGCGGACCAGTCTCTAGTGATGAGGGGGTTGGAGTGTGGCCTTGAGAGTGGCACCAAAAGATCTGGGATTCTTTCTCACTTAAAAGTCTGTGATGGTGCTTGTGTTGAAAAATGCTTTCATGTGTTGATTGTATGGACACATTTAATCTGTACATCTGTTATTTTCTCCCTGCAGAAACATATGAGGATTTTGATACCAGGATACTTGAGGTAGGCATGCTGAATTAAATACTCAATTAAGCCTTTGGATAGATTGGGGAGGGTGGGGCAGGGATAGGGCCAGCAGAATTGTGAGGAAAAGCCTTTGATGCACGGCTGTTTCTGAGACGCAGAGCTGATTTGGGTAAGTAAATAATGGAGCTTTAACTTCAGTTACTTGTTGGCTCTTCTGACTGCTGCCCTTTTTGGGGGGTACCAGATTGAGATCTCATGACAAGGCAACTTCAGTAGTATTGTTAATTACAGAATTTGGAGATTAGGTTTAAATTTCCTCCTTTCTAAAACTAAAGTAGCATTAGCAATCTGTTCTTAAATTATAAATAAGCTACTGTATATAGCACTCATTTCAGGGAGCTGAGATTGGGAGGAGCCATGGGGTGGGCTAGAAAGAGGTCGGTGAATGTCCCGTTCTTAAAACTGAAGCCCAGATCAAGTAAACTGCAATCACTTTCCAGAGCATTTTCTAAAATAGTCAACTTGCTTTTAAGCTGGCACTGCATACTTAATTAGTATTAAATACCACATGGAATGATCATTTGTTGAGTTTGTGATGAGCCTCTCTGAATATGTATATTGTTTCTTCAATATCAGTTGCATTATAGAATTTAAAATTTGTTTATAAGTATTATATCTTTAGTATACCAGCTTACAGCTTTTGGAATTTAATCCCTTTGAATTCTTATACATGTGGGTGATTTTCTGTAAGATTATCCATGGGGGTGGACTCAAGCTCCCTTTTATTTTAACCACATTTTATGGGAAAGGGGCCACTATGAACTATAGAGCCAGCTGCCACGTAAGCAGTTCAGTTAACAGTTCATAGTTCCTAGCCTTTTGATTATGCCCCCCCCCAAATAGATTTTCTTATAGTTCAGAATAAGTAGATATTCCCAAATTTTCTATTCTCAATTGAGCCTAATCCTTGGCATAGAGATCCCCACCCTATGCTAGTTATTTCTGTGCATTTCATCATTTCTAAGGTGCACATTTTTTCCTATTTTAACATCTCTTTTTTTCTTCTTGTGGTATATTCATTAAGATAGAGTATATTGTGGCTGGGTGCAGTGGCTCACACCCGTAATTCCAGCACTTTGGCCAAGGCAGGAGGATTGCTTGAGGCGAGGAGTTGAAGACCAGCCCGGGCAACATAGTTAGATCCCATCTCTTCAAAACATAATAAAAAAATTAGCCATGCATGGTGGCACTCTCCCGTAGTCTCAGCTACTCAGGAGGCTGAGGTAGGAGGATCATTTAAGCCCAGGAATTCTTTTTTTTTTTTTTTTTTTTTTTTTGAGACAGAGTCTCACTTTGTTGCCTAGGCTAGAGTGAGTGCCATGGCGTCAGCCTAGCTCACAGCAACCTCAATTTCCTGGCTCAAGCAATCCTTCTGCCTCAGCCTCCCAAGTAGCTGGGACTACAGGCATGCGCCACCATGCCCAGCTAATTTTTTATATATATATATTAGTTGGCCAATTAATTTCTTTCTATTTATAGTAGAGACGGGGTCTCGCTCTTGTTCAGGCTGGTTTCGAACTCCTGACCTCGAGCAATCCACCCGCCTCGGCCTCCCAGAGAGCTAGGATTACAGGCGTGAGCCACCGCACCCGGCCAAGCCCAGGAATTCTCATTTACGGTGAGCTATGAATGGGCCACTGCACTCTAGCCTGGGAAATAGGGAAAGACCCTGTCTCTAAAAAACAAAATAAAAAAATAAAAATAAGATACATTGAGTTGTACAGTTTCAAATTCCTTTAAAAGGTTATCAGTTGAACCTTCTAATAACCCTGTGAATAGGAAGAGAAAATCTATTTCCATTTTATTCCTGAAGAAACAGTCCAGAGGGAGGTTTCATTTGAAGTTTGTTGTTTGTGCTCACAGAGTTGGAGGATAATGTGCCTTTTTCACCACATGTGCATGTTTAAGGAAGGCAGGTCCCTCCAGTTCCCTACTTCAGTTTCCTTAAGGTGTAGTATTTATCAGACATTTTGTCTTTTAGGTGAGAAATGTTTTCAATATGACAGCAAAAGAGGGAAGAAAGAAATCAGTCCGGGTCCTGGTTGCCGTGGGGAATGGAAAAGGAGCGGCAGGTGAACGGGGCGTGGGGATACCTGTGGTGGTGGTGGTATGGCGGAGGACAGGCTGTGCCGTGGAGGCCATGAGTTCATGCTGCTGGCCAGACCTTTTCTCATTAAACCTTTATGTGATTTGGCCTCATAAACTTTGTAAACCCATAATAGCCCTTAGAGAGAAAAGAAAGATAGGTCTTTCTGCATCTTCTTTTCCCTCTGAGGATATTTTGAAAGACTTAAGACATTATTATGTATAATAGTGAAAAATTAAAAGGTAAAAACACTAATGGTTCAATAATATTAACAAAAACACTGATGGTTCAGTAGAGCCATGGTTACAAAAAACAATATAGCTATACAATGTAATATTCTGTAGCCATTAAAGAACTATGGAAAATTACTTAGAAAATAATGCTAAGTTAAAAAAATCTGCATATAAAACTGTAATATCTTAATTTTTGAGTTTTTTTCAATAGGCTCTAATCCAATGTGATTTTTAAAAAAATGTTTATATGCAAACAGAAAACTGGAAGACTATTCACTGAAAAGGTTAATAGTGTTTATTCCAATTAGTAGGTTTGCTGGTCATTTAAATTTTTTTCCTCATATTTTCTTTGAAGTTTCAAGAATGGACCTCTGGTTTTAAAATGTATAAATTCATGTTGAAGGAAAAGAAAACTGGAAAACTGCCTCATTAGCCCATACTGACACATTTACATTTCTTTAATTATTTCAAAACAGAAGTAATCCATATGAATAGTATGTTGTTAAAGGAAAGCATATTTAACAGTTAATTTTGTATCTTTCCAGAAATTTCGTATTCATATTATCACCATAAACCTTTAAAAATATCTATACAAAGGGATCATATTACAGCCATAGTTTTACACCTTGCTTTTCTTGTTTGGTATCATAAGCCAAGATCTTCCTGTATTAACATAAACAGATTCCCCATCATTGTCTGTGCTGGTTGTATGGTGTTCCATGGTATGGATGATTTTTGTAACCTTTTCCATATTGCTGAATATTTATGTTGTTTCCAATTTTTTGCTATTTATAAAAAACAGCAAGCTTCTTTTACATGTAATTCGTTGTACTTTTTTAAGTATATAAATAAATAGGGGAAATATTTTGCAAGTATATAAAAAGGGGAAATTGCTACCCTAAAGTTACATGCATTTTTAAATGTTGATAAGTATTGCCAGATTGCTCTGCCAAAAGATTGCATCAGTTTATGTTCATCTATACCATCACATGCTCGCCAGCCAGCCCTGGATATTATCAAGCTTTACTGATTGTCAATATGAAACATATTTTTCAGTTTTCGTTTACATTTCTTTAATTATGAAATTTTGGGTGCCATTTTACATTTATTGGCCTTTGTCATTTCCTTTTTGAGATTTGTCAGTTCATGTGCTTTGCCCATTTTTTAATTGGGTGATTATTCCTTTCTTTATTGATTGGTACAAGCTCTTTGTAAGTTAAGGACATAAGCCCTTTGTCTATCAGATATTTTGACTTAGTTTTTAATTTTTTTCCACACAGTTATAAATTGACAGAAGTTTTAAACCTTTATATAGCAAATTTTCAGTCTTTTATCACTTCTGGTTTTGTGTCTTCTTAGAAAGCCTTCATTTGAAGATTATGAATAAATTAATTCATATTTTCCTCTAGGACTTCCATGATATAATTTGTTTGTTTAAAGTAGGAATTAGAATCTATAGTCCCTTTTGTCCCAGGTCTCAGATGTCTTGTGTAGCTCATGGAGCAGTATTGTCTTATGTTACTTTCCTGTGTATAATTTAAAAACAAAACACATTCTTCAAGCTAAATAATTAATAGTGGCAGTGAATGAGGGGAGCATTTCTGTAACTTGTGATAAACCTCATTTCATGGGGTTAAGCATTCACAAACCAAAGCATCATTGGTTTTATTTCCTGGTTAATTGAAATCTAAATTCCATTTGAAGTTCCAGTGAAATCATGGTTTTTCTTTATAGGAGTGTATAGTTTTTTCTACCCCTTTTGGTTATTTTCACCTATTTTCAAAAACATCCCAAATCATTTGCCATATTAATTTAGGGCATATTTAGTTGTTTTTTTTTTTTTTTTGAGACAGAGTCTCGCTTTGTTGCCCAGGCTAGAGTGAGTGCCGTGGCGTCAGCCTAGCTCACAGCAACCTCAAACTCCTGGGCTCGAGTGATCCTTCTGCCTCAGCCTCCCTGGTAGCTGGGACTACAGGCATGCGCCACCATGCCCGGCTAATTTTTTATATATATATCAGTTGACCAATTAATTTCTTTCTATTTATAGTAAAGACGGGGTCTCACTCTTGCTCAGGTTGGTTTTGAACTCCTGACCTTGAGCAATCCGCCCGCCTCAGCCTCCCAAAGTGCTAGGATTACAGGCGTGAGCCACCACGCCCGGCCTATCGTTAATCTTTTTAGATGTGATAGCGCTATTGTGATTGTGGGTTTTTTAAAATAAGTCTTTATCTTTTAGAAGTGTTTACTAAAGTTTTGCATAAATGAAATTTTTATAATAAAACATTTTATAAAATGTGTTGAAATCCTTGAGAAAAATGTAAATTTCAGTAATAGATTTAAGAGAAACATTTTTCTTCTTTTAGGCAAAGAACAAAGCAATTCACTATTTGCATTACATAGAACGATATGAAGACCATACGAGTGAGTATTAATCTTTCTTTTAAAGTTTGCAGTATTATACTAGTTAAAATATGCGTGGCAATATATCTCCATGAGTATTTTTTGTGTTTCTCTGTGTGTTACTACATTCTTACAAATATATAAAATATGAAAACAAACCTAATTTCCTGAGAAATTTAGTAAAATGATTGAAATCAGAGTTTGTCATTCATTCGTGGTCAACATGTGCTGCCTTTTTAGGGTGGTAGGGTGGCTTTGTGATATTTGCAAGGGCATTAAAGCCACACATCTAATCTTTCTTGTGTTTATGTTTTTACCCTCCAGTATTCCATGATATTTCTTTAAGATATAAAAGGACATATATCAAGATGAAGAAACAACCCAGAGGTAACTAAAATACTCTTAAAATTTGTAGAGGATAAAGCAGAGAAATTAGAACAATTCCAGCCTGTCATCTATTTCTGCTCATCTTTATTTGAACTCATCTTGAAAACACCAAAATGGAAAGACTTAAGAAGGATGAGGCTCCTGGGGAAATAAAAAATAGTCAAGCTATACAGCTTCCTGTGAGCACAGGCATGTTCTCGGAGTAATTTTAGGTGCGGAGAATACATTGTGAATGGGAAATACCAATTGAGTGAGTAATAGGGTTTGTATGAGTAGGAAGATTAGTTCCTTCTGGAAAATTCACTGATGCTGTTAAATGTTTCTATTCTTATAGCTTATTTAGTTCTAGTTGTTTATTATTTGTCATCAAGTATCGAGGGACTATCTTCTGTGAGCCAGATGCTATGCTAAGCACTAGGGATGCAGAGGTGGCCCTTTCTGTCTCATGGATAAGCAGGAAGGCAGGTTTTACAGCAAAAAATGGTTTTCTATAACTCTAGGTTAATAAATCTCAAAACCTTTGGGTCAGAAGAGATAAAACATTGTATTTAAAATTTTATATCAAAGTTCTAATGTCACTCTGTAAGAGCTATGGCTTGGAAATAAGAAAAAGAAATCAAATGCAGTACTAATTGTGTTAATGTACCAGAACATGCTTTCTGCTTTAAAGCCATAATTAATCATTTATATGCCTGATAAAAACCACTTATCATTTAAAACCACTTGATAAAAACCACTTGTCATTTGAAAAAGAATTGGACACTTGGACATCAAGGTTTAGACCCGTGCTGTGCCATGTGGTAGCTATTAGCCAGCCTAGCTATGGAGCACTTAAAATGTGGCTATGGAGATCTGCTCCAAGTGTCAAACACACCAGATTTCAAAGACTTAGTATGAAAAAAAAAAGAATGTAAACTATCTTAAATATATTATTATACTGATTATATTTTGCAATGATAATGTTTGGATCTGCTGGCTTAATACACTATATTACTAAAATTAACTTTTTTTCAACTTGTAAAAATGTATCTATGAGAACATTTAAAATTATATATATGGTTTCCATTTGTGGCTTTTATATTTATGTTGGATGGTGTTAGTCTAGACACATTTATATCTGAATGACTTTTGAATGACTGCTACAATTTTAATTTCAAAAGTTACCTTTTTAAAAAAATCTTCCCTGTCTTCTAATCAAAGCTGCAATTTTCAGGTTTCTATGTAGTCTAGACCATCACCCATGCATTGGAGTTAAATACTCTCATTTAATTTGAAGTTAAAACAGTGTGATATATAGATATTTCATAAATACATATACAAATAGGCATTTCTTAAACTATGTTCCTACATATTACTCTTTGTATGATAGTAATGCATAGGAGGTAGTAATTGGTGTTACTCCAGAAAGGGTGCCAAGTGGCAGAACTGGATTAGGGAAAGGCAAAAAAAGTGCATGTTTGTGAATGTTATGGTCTTTAATTTACTGCTATGCAATATGAATCTCCCAAGGGAAATAGAGAATGTAACGTTCCCAAACTCATTTAACCATGGCACACTTCTACTTTGGCTGCAGGACACTAGTCAGTTCCACACTGCTGCAAAGGTTTTCCTCCCAAAATATACACACATTAATTTAACTTTTATTAAACAAGTGTTGTGTTTTTTTTTTGTTTTTTTTTTGAGACAGAGTCTCACTCTGTTGCCCAGGCTAGAGTGCCATGGCGTCAGCCTAGCTCACAGCAACCTCAAAACTCCTGGGTTTAGGCGAACCTCCTGCCTCAGCCTCCCAAGTAGCTGGGGGGCATGCGCCTCCATGCTCGGCTAATTTTTTCTATATATTTTTAGTTGGCCACTTAATTTCTTTCTATTTTTAGTAGAGATGGAGTCTCGCTCTTGCTCAGGCTGGTTTTGAACTCCTGACCTTGAGCCATCCTCCCGCCTTGCCTGCCAGAGTGCTAGGATTACAGGCGTGAGCCACCGTGAATGAGTGTTTTTTGACAGTCTCTGCCTGGAAGTGTTCACAATCAAAGTACTGTTAAATATTAGTAATTACCATAGGACTGTGACCGCTGTTATATAGATATTTATGTGCAAAACATAAGATTGTATGTGCAAAACAATGGCTCCCATTCATGGAGTGTTTCCTGTGGTCCAAGTGCTGTGTCTTATACACACCTTCCCTTGGTGCTCACAGCACCTTACAGCACTACTAAGTAGATACTGTAGGGAGGAGGGAGAGTCTTGCCCAAGGTCATCCAGTGAGCAGTGGCACGCTAGAGTCTGCCTCCCAGGTCCTTCCAAAATCTGCCTTACACCCCCTTTCATGTGTACCTGTCTAGGTGTGTGTGCATCTAGATACATCTATACATGGATGCTTTATGTTCATGCATGGACACAAGTTCTATGTGTAGATAAGTCTACACAGAAGAACAAAGAACCCCATTGTTACCTGTTGTTAGCTATCCTCTCAAGTCTGTGGTTCTTGCATGATCTGGCATAGTTACGGAGTCCACAGTTAATTGGTTCTTTCAGGTAGAAGGGATGGTTCTTTACCATGAGAAATCAGAAGCTAGAAAGCAAGTAATGTCCAGCTTACTGAGTAGATCTGCCTTAAAGCAGAAGAGGTGTGTGCTGAGTTTCATATCTGGCAAATAAAAATGATAGAGTGTAAAGTAGGGGCCATTAACTCTCCCTCACGCCTATTGGCATTTGCCAGGTACTGCTCTAGGCTCTGGGAACATAGTTGTAATAGCCTGGCTTTCATGGAGCCCATATTCTACTGAGGGGAAACATGGAACAAACAGGTTTCATTGATTGCCTGAATGCCATGATCAGGATGCTGCATTAGAGTCGGGGAGGAAGGTGGAAGGGAGGATGCCACCTTGAATAGTGTGGTCAAAGAAGGACCCTGAGGATGAGAAGGAGACAAGGGGACAGAGCTGGAAGAACATTCCAGGCAGAGGGAAACCCCACGTGCAAAGTCCTTAAGGTGGGAAAGCCAACATGAGGAGGGTGCTTCTCCAGATGAGGTCAGGGTTGAGGCATGAAGGGCTTTGTAGGCTGTGGAGGTCTTTATTATTTATTTTATTTTAATTCAGAGAACAGTGGGAAATGAAGGGCTTTAAATGGGGAGTGATGTGTTGGTTTGTGTTTTTAAAGCTCTTCTGGAGAAGGGATTACAGGTGGACAGGAGTAGGGCAAGTGGCTGGAAGGGGACACCACCTAAGATTTAGAAGCCAGCAAGGAGGGGAGATGGACGGGCCAGTAGCCAGGGGGACATACAGGACCAAAGCTAGAGAAGAGTTTTCCCAGGAAGAGGGAGTGGATGCTCTGCTCAGGGCACCTGAGCAGTTAAGGAGGGTGAAAACAGATGTGTCCCTTGACCCTTAGTTAACAAGGATTTTGGGAGGAGCCAAGAATTTTCAGACATCTCTGTTAATCTTCATAGCAGCCCTGGGTTCTTTTCCCCGCTGTGTTTAAGAGATTTATATATATATATATACATATATATATATAAATCTCTTTAATCCCTTATAGTATCCCATGTAAATAAGTGTCATCATGGAAGTTAAGTTGCTAAGGGTCACCCCACTGGGAAGGGTGACTGCAACAGGCTTGTTTCACTTGGTTTTCCCCCCTTTCTAGGTCACGGCCTCCGCTGCCACAGGGCCATCACCACCATTTGCCGGCTCATTGGCATCAAAGACATGTATGCCAAGGTCTCTGGTTCTGTCAACATGGTCAACCTCACCCGGGGCCTCTTCCGTGGGCCTCTCCCCGAGCAGGTTAACGAGTAACCTTTCCCCAGGGTCTGAAACAGAAGTTCTGGTTTTGTATTTCGTTGTGTGCTTTGACACCGCGATGCCATGGGGCCTCCTGGGGATGCTGTCCTGGGGCCTCCTGAGGACTTGGGCATTCTTTGCTATCTTACTGCATCAGGTTAGTAAAATCACTGAAGAGTTACTTAATGAAAGTCACCTTTTAAAAAAAATACTAAATGGATTTTTTTAAATTTCAAAATTCAGTATTGTAATAAGCCAGTAATTACAGCCTGTGTTTTATTATGAAAAGAATACATTAATTCGTGTGTCACTCAAAAGGAAAAAAATAACCACCAATTTAAGTGACACAGCTTTGATTATAGATAAACCTATTTAAATTATTTTTTGTTTATGAAACAGCTCATCTCTTTTCTAATTCACAAACATATATAGAATATAATAGTGCAAGGCAGCCATGAAGTCTGGATCTTGGGGTTGGACCTATCAGGTATTTTAATACACTATAATAAACCATCTACTAAATTTATTTGCTTGTTTCCAGACTCGATGGCCACCCTCTATAATGAATCCCCACAGCCCTCTCACCTAGTTCATGATCAGTCTTGTCAGTATCAAAACCCCTCTACCCAGCCTCAGTTGTTTTAAACCAAATCTAAGACATCATTTGTTTCATCCATAAATCTTTCGGTATGTAGTTCTACAAGAAAGGACTAAAACATACCTATAATCCTGTTATCATAACTAAAAAATGATAACTCATATTATCAAATATCCAGTGTTCATACAAATGTATCTGTCAGATTTTTTAAAAATTATTTTTTTACACAGTTTGAATCAGATTGCAAAAAAGGTCAATACATTGTAAGTTTTTATGTCTTTTAAGTCTCTTAATCTGTGGGTTCCCCTTTTCTTCTTTTTTTGTTTTCTTGTGATTTTTTCTGTTTAAGAGACCAGTTGGTTTATCCTTACATTGTTCCCAGTGTGGTGCTAACTTAAAACCTGTGAGGCTCTTAATACCTTCTGTCCCGTATATTTCCTGTGAATTGGTAGTTAGATCTAGGGGCTTGATGAAATTCAAGTTCAATTTTGGCATAGTATGGCAAGTAATTAGGAGGGTTTGGAAAGCAAGAGGCCAAGGCCCTTCCCTCCATCCCAGTTTGTGGGTGGGGAGATGGGCTGAGATGGCTCCACCAATGACAGGTCACCATAGTTAGCCATAAAATACATTACCCAGGATCGACTAAAATTGTATTTCAGTTCCCCCCACGCTGCTATACATGTTTTTACATGAATTCCCTCTGGCTTATGGAAGTTTTCTGCTTTAAGTGCAGATGTACTTCATAGACCTAACCTGTTCTTCTCAATTTGATCTTGCCCAGGAAACCCATCAACAGCTGGCTGATAAGAAGGTCTCCATGTTGTCGAATTCCGGGAGGAATGTGGTCCTCTGCCCCATTGTGGTTGCCTCCACCCCAGGGAGCCTTGAGAAAGGATCCAGAGCCAGAAGATAGAGGTTCCAGATGTCAAACTGGACTGGGAAGAAGTGAAGGCTGCACAGGGCATGAAGCACTCTGTGTGGGCAGGTTTAAAGAGAGCCGCCACATAACCTTCACTCTGGCTTTGTACAGGCAGTGCCTGGTGCTGTTCAGCATCTAGGAGAGAGACTCAACCCCTCACACACCTTGGATGTTGCCCCTTTTTTGGGGGGAAGTGGGGATGGGTATCCAACCTTATCTCCTCTGTTTACAAATAATTATAGCTTTCATTTATTGACCATACCGTATATGCCAGTCATTATGATAAGAACTTTACCTACATATCTCAGTTCAAGACTACTTTAAATACATTTAAACTAGCAAAAGCAAGTAAATTGGGGAGAGAGCTAATAGTCTGACCCAATCAAAAATAATATGCATAATAATAATAATTGCTATAATAATATAAGTTAATACATATTTACTCATTCATCCAAAATGAACATTATTAACTTCAATTTTAGGGGCAATTAAGTAACTTGACTATACTGAGGGACTGCCAGACCATTTTCCACAGTGCTGTGCCATTTTACATTCCCATTATAGTGTAAGGTTTCTCCACATGCTTGCCAGCACTTGTTCTGTCTTTTTGATTATAGCCATCCTAGTGGGTATGAAAGTATGAAGTAGTACTTCATTGTGGTTTTGACTAGCATTTCCCTACTGGTTAGTGATGTTAATCATCTTTTCATGCGCTTTTTGCCATTCATATATTGTTTTCTGGAGAAATGTCTACTCAGATCCTTTGTATATTTTAAAATTGGATTGTGTTATTGAGGTATTGTTTATATGTTCTAGATACAAGCCCCCTATCAAGATACATGATCTGCAACAGTTTTCTCCCATTCTGTGAAATATATTATTATTTTCTTATTTCTTTGAATAGCTTTTCATCTCCACCCACATTCTTCTGGACACTGATGACACAAATGTTAAATCTTTTATTATAGTTCCACAAATCCCTGAAGCTCTGTTTATTTTTCTCCAGTGTGTTTTCTATCTGTTGTTTGGTTTAGGTAATTTCTAGTGTTTTATTTTTAGGTTCACTGATTATTTCCTCTTTCCTCTCCATTCTGCTCTTGAGCCATCCATGCAGTATTTTTATTTGGCTATTTATATTCAGTTCTAAAATTTCCATTTGATTCTTCTTTAGATCTTCTTCTGTTTCTTTGCTGAAGTTTTCTGTTTGCTGAGACTATTATTTTAGGTTTCAAAGAGTATGTATGTAATTGTTTGCTGAAGCATTTTATCAATGGCTGCTTTAAATCCTTGTCCTAAAGTTTCAACATTTGTTCCTCTAAGCATTAACAGCATTTCCATTATCTATGGAGACAGTCCATGTTTCAGGAAGCGTCATCCCATCAGGACCTGGTGGCCTCCTCGAGTTCAGGTGGTAGAGTCGGGAATTGAGGGCAGTCAGGGTGACTAGAGTTCATAGGAGAGAATGCCTTAGAGGAGAGAGCTACACAGCAAGAGAACGGATCTTACAAACACCTAAAAAGGCAATTCCTGTGAGGAAACTACTCAAGACCAAAGAAAGACCCACCCAAAAAGGATTAGAGGGAACAGAAATATGGAACTGAAAATAGTGCCTGTTTTCAACAGCCACTGTGGAAACCCCTTGTAATCCAGATGTCATTGGAAGAGTACTATAAAGAGTTTTGCCTCAAGGCCAGGCGCCGTGGCTCACGCCTGTAATCCTAGCACTCCGGGAGGCCGAGGCGGGCTAGATTGCTCAAGATCAGGAGTTTGAAACCAGCCTGAGCAAGAGCAAACCCCGTTCTTACATAAATAGAAAGAAATTAATTGGCCAACTAATATATATAGAAAAAATTAGCCGGGTATGGTGGTGCATGCCTGTAGTCCCAGCTACTCGGGAGGCTGAGGCAGGAGGATTGCTTGAGCCCAGGAGTTTGAGGTTGCTGTGAGCTAGGCTGACGCCATGGCACTCACTCTAGCCTGGGCAACAAAGTGAGACCCTGTCTCAAAAAAAAAAAAAAAAAAGTTTTGCCTCAGTAGTGGAAAAATTAATTCCATAATAAATCTACCTCTTGTCCCAATTCACAAAACTTAAAAAGTCCAAACTGGAACACAACTGTGTTTTAGAACAAAACTCTAGAAAATAGAAATGCAAAAAATAACTAATACAGTAATAAGGTAAAATTCACAATACCCAGCATCTAATAAATCACTAGACATGCAAAGAAGCATGAAAATAAAGCTCACAATGAATGGACAAGTTGATCAAAACTGACCCAGAAATGGTGCAATGAAAGAATCAGGACATTAAAGCAGATATTGTGACTGTATTCTATATGTTCAAAAAGAGAAAAATTGAACATGTTAAGTAGAGGCATGGAAGATATAAAACATGCAATTTGAACTTCTAGAGGTGAAACTAATATCTGGGATTAAAAACACACTGGCTGGAGTTAACAGCAGATCAGACATTGCTGAAGAAGAGATGAGTGAACTTTAAGACACAGCAGTAAAAAAATAATAAACAGGAAAAAGACTGAAGAAGATTGGGGAAGAATTGAGCATTAGAGAACTGTGGGACAACATCAAGAGCCACATACAAGTATAATTAGTTTCCCTAGTTGAGGAAAGTATAACAAAATATTTGAAGAAATAATGGTTGAATTGTTTGCCAAATTGACAACTATAAACTCACAGACTCAAGAAGTACAATGAACTATATCAATCAAAAATTTCTTTGAACCAGTGATAAAGAGGAAATCTTAAAAGCAAGAGAAAAAGACAAATTGGTTATAGAGGAGCAAAGATAAAAATGACAGCAGCTTGCTCGTTAGAAACAGTGCAATCTAGAAGGGGATGAACATCTTTAAAGTACTGAAAGAAAAAAATTGCTAACCTAGAATTTTTTCCTAGTGAAAATATCTTTCAAAAATGAAGCCAAGGCTGGGTGCAGTGGCTCATGCCTGTAATCCTAGCACTCTGGGAGGCTGAGGCAGGAAGATCGTTCAAGGTCAGGAGTTCAAAACCAGCCTGATCAAGAGTGAGACCCCCATCTCTACTAAAAAAATAGAAAAAAATTAATTGGCCAACTAAAAACAATATAGAAAAAATTAGCCGGGCATGGTGGTGCATGCCTGTAGTCTCAGCTACTCGGGAGGCTGAGGCAGAAGGATTGCTTGAGCCCAGGATCTTATTTCTTTGAATAGCTTTTTCATCTCCACCCACATTCTTCCTGGACACTGATGACACAAATGTTAAATCTTTTATTATAGTTCCACAAATCCCTGAAGCTCTGTTTATTTTTCTCCAGTGTGTTTTCTATCTGTTGTTTGGTTTAGGTAATTTCTAGTGGTTTTATTTTTAGGTTCACTGATTATTTCCTCTTTCCTCTCCATTCTGCTCTTGAGCCATCCATGCAGTATTTTTATTTTGGCTATTTGTATATTCATTCTAATTTCCATTTATTCTTCTTTAGATCTTCTTCTGTTTCTTTGCTGAAGTTTTCTGTTTGCTGAGACTATTATTTTTAGGTTTCAAGAGTATGTATGTAATTGTTTGTGAAGCATTTTTATCATGGCTGCTTTAAAATCCTTGTCTAAAGTTTCAACATTTGTGTCCTCTTAGCATTAACAGCATTTCCATTATCTATGGAGACAGTCCATGGTTTCAGGAAGCGTCATCCCATCAGACCTGGTGGCCTCCTCGAGTTCAGGTGGTAGAGTCGGGAATTGAGGGCAGTCAGGGTGACTAGAGTTTCATAGGAGAGAATGCCTTAGAGGAGAGAGCTACACAGCAAGAGAACGGATCTACAACACAAAAAGGACATTCCTGTGAGGAAACTACTCAAGACAAAGAAAGACCCACCCAAAAAGGATTAGAGGGAACAGCATATGGAACTGAAATAGTGCCTGTTTTAAACAGCCACTGTGGAAACCTTGTAATCCAGATGTCATTGGAAGAGTACTAATAAGAGTTTTGCCTCAAGGCCAGGCGCCGTGGCTCAGCCTGTAATCCTAGCACTCGGAGGCCGAGGCGGGCTAGATTGCTCAAGATCAGGAGTTTGAACAGCTGAGCAAGAGCAAGACCCCGTCTCTACTATAAATAGAAAGAAATTAATTGGCCAACTAATATATATAGAAAAATTAGCCGGGTATGGTGGTGCATGCCTGTAGTCCCAGCTACTCGGGAGGCTGAGGCAGGAGGATTGCTTTGAGCATTGGCATCAAAGACATGTATGCCAAGGTCTCTGGTTCTGTCAACATGGTCAACCTCACCCGGGGCCTCTTCCGTGGGCTCTCCCGACAGGTAACCTTTCCCCAGGGTCTGAAACAGAAGTTCTGGTTTGTATTTCGTTGTGTGCTTTGACACCGCGATGCCATGGGGCCTCCTGGGGATGCTGTCCTGGGGCCTCCTGAGGACTTGGGCATTCTTTGCTATCTTACTGCATCAGGTTAGTAAAATCACTGAAGAGTTACTTAATGAAAGTCACCTTTTAAAAAAAATACTAAATGGATTTTTTTAAATTTCAAAATTCAGTATTGTAATAAGCCAGTAATTACAGCCTGTGTTTTATTATGAAAAGAATACATTAATTCGTGTGTCACTCAAAAGGAAAAAAATAACCACCAATTTAAGTGACACAGCTTTGATTATAAGATAAACCTATTTAAATTATTTTCTTTTGTTTATGAAACAGCTCATCTCTTTTCTAATTCCAAACATATATAGAATTATAATAGTGCAAGGCAGCCATGAAGTCTGGGATCTTGGGGTTGGGCCTATCAGGTATTTTAATACACTATAAATAAACCATCTACTAAATTTATTTGCTTGTTTCCAGACCTCGATGGCCACCCTCTATAATGAATTCCCACAGCCCTCTCACCTAGTTCATGATCAGTCTTGTCAGTATCAAAACCCCTCTACCCAGCCTCAGTTGTTTTAAACCAAATCTAAGACATCATTTGTTTCATCCATAAATCTTTCGGTATGTAGTTCTACAAGATAAGGACTAAAACATACCCTATAATCCTGTTATCATAACTAAAAAATTAGTAACTCATATTATCAAATATCCAGTGTTCATACAAATGTATCTGTCAGATTTTTTAAAAATTATTTTTTTACACAGTTTGAATCAGATTGCAAAAAAGGTCAATACATTGTAAGTTTTTATGTCTTTTAAGTCTCTTAATCTGTAGGTTCCCCCTTTTCTTCTTTTTTTGTTTTCTTGTGATTTTTCTGTTTAAGAGACCAGTTGGTTTATCTTACATTGTTTCCCAGTGTGGTGCTAACTTAAAACCTGTGAGGTCCTTAATACCTTCTGTCCCGTATATTTCCTGTGAATTGGTAGTTAGATCTAGGGGCTTGATGAAATTCAAGTTCAATTTTTGGCATAGTATGGCAAGTAATTAGGAGGGTTTGGAAAGCAAGAGGCCAAGGCCCTTCCCTCCATCCCAGTTTTGGGTGGGGAGATGGGGCTGAGATGGCTCCACCAATGACAGGTCACCATAGTTTAGCCATAAAATACATTACCCAGGATCGACTAAAATTGGTATTTCAGTTCCCCCACGCTGCTATACATGTTTTTACATGAATTCCCTCTGGCTTATGGAAGTTTCTGCTCTTTAAGTTGCAGATGTACTTCATAGACCTAACCTGTTCTTCTCAATTTGATCTTGCCCAGGAAACCCATCAACAGCTGGCTGATAAGAAGGGTCTCCATGTTGTCGAATTCCGGGAGGAATGTGGTCCTCTGCCCATTGTGGTTGCCTCCCCCCAGGGAGCCTTGAGAAAGGATCCAGAGCCAGAAGATGAGGTTCCAGATGTCAAACTGGACTGGGAAGAAGTGAAGGCTGCACAGGGCATGAAGCACTCTGTGTGGGCAGGTTTAAAGAGAGCCGCCACATAACCTTCACTCTGGCTTTGTACAGGCAGTGCCTGGTGCTGTTCAGCACCTAGGAGAGAGACTCAACCCCTCACACCTTGGGATGTTGCCCTTTTTTGGGGGGGAAGTGGGGATGGGTATCCAACCTTATCTCCTCTGTTTACAAATAAATTATAGCTTTCATTTATTGACCATACCGTATATGCCAGTCATTATGATAAGAACTTTACCTACATATCTCAGTTCAAGACTACTTTAAATATTCATTTAAACTAGCAAAAGCAAGTAAATTGGGGAGAGAGCTAATAGTCTGACCCAATCAAAAATAATATGCATAATAATAATTGCTATAATAATTATAGTTAATACATATTTACTCATTCATCCAAAATGAACATTATTAACTTCATTTTAAGGGGGCAATTAAGTAACTTGACTATACTGAGGGACTGCCAGACCATTTTCCACAGTGGCTGTGCCATTTTACATTCCCATTAGTAGTGTAAGGTTTCTCCACATGCTTGCCAGCACTTGTTCTGTCTTTTGATTATAGCCATCCTAGTGGGTATGAAAGTATGAAGTAGTACTTCATTGTGGTTTTGACTAGCATTTCCCTACTGGTTAGTGATGTTAATCATCTTTTCATGCGCTTTTTGCCCATTCATATATGTTTTCTGGAGAAATGTCTACTCAGATCCTTTGTACATTTTAAAAATTGGATTGTGTTATTGAGGTAGTTGTTTATATGTTCTAGATACAAGCCCCCTATCAGATACATGATCTGCAACAGTTTTCTCCCATTCTGTGAAATATATTATTATTTTCTTATTTCTTTGAATAGCTTTTCATCTCCACCCACATTCTCCTTCTGGGACACTGATGACACAAATGTTAAATCTTTTATTATAGTTCCACAAATCCCTGAAGCTCTGTTTATTTTTCTCCAGTGTGTTTTCTCTCTGTTGTTTGGTTTAGGTAATTTCTAGTGTTTTATTTTTAGGTTCACTGATTATTTCCTCTTTCCTCTCCATTCTGCTCTTGAGCCATCCATGCAGTATTTTTATTTTGGCTATTTGTATATTTCAGTTCTAAAATTTCCATTTGATTCTTCTTTAGATCTTCTTCTGTTTCTTTGCTGAAGTTTTCTGTTTGCTGAGACTATTATTTTTAAGTTTCAAGAGTATGTATGTAATTGTTTGCTGAAGCATTTTTATCATGGCTGCTTTAAAATCCTTGTCCTAAAGTTTCAACATTTGTGTCCTCTTAGCATTAACAGCATTTCCATTATCTATGGAGACAGTCCATGGTTTCAGGAAGCGTCATCCCATCAGGACCTGGTGGCCTCCTCGAGTTCAGGTGGTAGAGTCGGGAATTGAGGGCAGTCAGGGTGACTAGAGTTCAGAGGAGAGAATGCCTTAGAGGAGAGAGCTACACAGCAAGAGAACGGATCTACAAACACTAAACAGGACATTCCTGTGAGGAAACTACTCAAGACCAAAGAAAGACCCACCCAAAAGGATTAGAGGGAACAGCATATGGAACTGAAAATAGTGCCTGTTTTCAACAGCCACTGTGGAAAACCTTGTAATCCAGATGTCATTGGAAGAGTACTAATAAGAGTTTTGCCTCAAGGCCAGGCGCCGTGGCTCACGCCTGTAATCCTAGCACTCCGGGAGGCCGAGGCGGGCTAGATTGCTCAAGATCAGGAGTTTGAAACCAGCCTGAGCAAGAGCAAGACCCCGTCTCTACTATAAATAGAAAGAAATTAATTGGCCAACTAATATATATAGAAAAAATTAGCCGGGTATGGTGGTGCATGCCTGTAGTCCCAGCTACTCGGGAGGCTGAGGCAGGAGGATTGCTTGAGCCCAGGAGTTTGAGGTTGCTGTGAGCTAGGCTGACGCCATGGCACTCACTCTAGCCTGGGCAACAAAGTGAGACCCTGTCTCAAAAAAAAAAAAAAAAAAGTTTTGCCTCAGTAGTGGAAAAATTAATTCCATAATAAATCTACCTCTTGTCCCAATTCACAAACTTAAAAATGTCAAACTGGAACGCAACTGTGTTTTAGAACAAAACTCTAGAAAATAGAAATGCAAAAAATAACTAATACAGTAATAAGGTAAAATTCACAATACCCAGCATCTAATAAATCACTAGACATGCAAAGAAGCATGAAAATAAAGCTCACAATGAATGGACAAGTTGATCAAAACTGACCCAGAAATGGTGCAATGAAAGAATCAGGACATTAAAGCAGATATTGTGACTGTATTCTATATGTTCAAAAAGAGAAAAATTGAACATGTTAAGTAGAGGCATGGAAGATATAAAACATGCAATTTGAACTTCTAGAGGTGAAACTAATATCTGGGATTAAAAACAACACTGGCTGGAGTTAACAGCAGATCAGACATTGCTGAAGAAGAGAGAGTGAACTTTAAGACACAGCAGTAAAAAAATAACAGGAAAAAGACTGAAGAAGATTGGGAAGAATTGAGCATTAGAGAACTGTGGACAACATCAAGAGCCACATACAAGTATAATTAGTTTCCCTAGTTGAGGAAAGTATAACAAAAATATTGAAGAAATAATGGTTGAATTGTTTGCCAAATTGACAACTATAAACTCACAGACTCAAGAAGTACAATGAACTATATCAATCAAAAATTTCTTTGAACCAGTGATAAAGAGGAAATCTTAAAAGCAAGAGAAAAAGACAAATTGGTTATAGAGGAGCAAAGATAAAAATGACAGCAGCTTGCTCGTTAGAAACAGTGCAATCTAGAAGGGGATGAACATCTTTAAAGTACTGAAAGAAAAAAATTGCTAACCTAGAATTTTTTCCTAGTGAAAATATCTTTCAAAAATGAAGCCAAGGCTGGGTGCAGTGGCTCATGCCTGTAATCCTAGCACTCTGGGAGGCTGAGGCAGGAAGATCGTTCAGTCAGGAGTTCAAAACCAGCCTGATCAAGAGTGAGACCCCATCTCTACTAAAAAAATAGAAAAAATTAATTGGCAACTAAAACAATATAGAAAAAATTAGCCGGGCATGGTGGTGCATGCCTGTAGTCTCAGCTACTCGGGAGGCTGAGGCAGAAGGATTGCTTGAGCCCAGGAGTTTGAGGTTGCTGTGAGCTAGGCTGACACCATGGCACTGTAGCCCAGGCAACAGAGCCAGACTCTGTCTTAAAAAAAAAAAAAAAAAAAAAGTGAAGCCAAAAGGAGGGATCTTCTAGACGTAACAAAATCTGAAAGAATCAATCAGCAGACCTCTATAAGAATTGTTACATGAAGTTCTTCAAGCAGAAGAAAGTTGATAACAGATGGAAACTAAGATCTACACAAAAAGCTGAAGAACACTGGAAATGGTAACTGGGTAGGTTACCATTACATGTGTAAAGGATTGCATATATCCTTTTTTGTTACTTAAATATCTCTAAAATATAATTAACGATTTAAAAGCAAAAATACCAACAATCTATTGCGTGGTTTTTAACACGTAGAAGTAAAATGTTTGATAACAATAGCATGAAGTCCAGGAGAGGAAAAATGGAAACTTGCTGTTATGTGGTTCTTATATATATGAAGTAATATAGTATCATTCCAAGGTAGATTGGTTAAGTTAAAGATGTTCACTAAAAACCCACTGTAAAGGAATTATGAAAGTAACAAAGTTATAGTTATTGAGCGAATGGGGATAAAAATGCAATCTTAAAAAGTACTGAGTCCAAAATAAGGCAGAAAAAGGGAACAAGGAATAGATGGGCCAAATAGAAAAGACACAAGATGGTATAAAAAACCCAACCATATTCATAATCACCTCAAGTATAAATGGTTTAAATGTGACTATTATACCCAGTTAGTTGATGATACAGTTGCTTTCAACTGTGTCATTACTGATTTTCTTCCTGCTGCATATGTCTATCTGAAAGGGGTGTTGATGTCTCCAACTACAATAGTGGATTCATCTATTTCTCCTTGAAGTTCCATCAGTTTTTGCCTAAGCAGATTTCTGCTCTGGTAAATTGTGATCCTCTGTATTTAGCCTGTCTCTCAATTTGAGGGGCAGCAGTTTGCCCTTGACTTCACTTCTTCGATGGATCTAAGAAGGGTTGGTTTTTCAGTTTGTTTAACTTTTTACATGGTGAGATGACCTCCCAAGCTCCTCAAACACTGGCCCAGAAACCAGAATTCTAAAGAAGCCAATTAAACAGTAAAGATTGCTAGATTTCATTTAAGCAAAACCCAATTATATGCTGCCTACAAGAAACCAACTTTAGATATAAAGACTAGTAGGTTAAAAATAAGAGGATAAGGAAAAAAAAACATGCTAACAGTCTATAGAAAGCTGATGGCATGTTAATTTTAGGCAATGTAGATTTCAGAGCAAGGAATACTACTAGGGATGAAGGGCCACTTTACAATAATAAAGGGTTAATTTATTGAGACAGCGTAACAGTCCTAAACATTTAGGCACCTAAAAATAGAGCTTCAAGTATATGAAGCAAAAACTGACAGAAATGCAATGAGAAATAGAGCCACAATTAATAGAGATTTTAACACCTCTCTCTCACAATAATTGGTGCAAATTAACATAAAATTGTTAAGAGTATAGAAGACACAAAAAATAGTATCAACCAACTTGACCTCATTGACTTATAGAACACTCCACCACCACCAACAAAAATGTATATTATTTTCAAGGGCATACAGGACATTTGCCAAGATGGGCTGTGTTCTGGGCCATAAAACAAATCATGAAATGTTTAAAAGGATTCAAGTCACACAGAGTATATTTCCTGATCATGATGGTTTTAAATTAGAAAATCTGAATATTTGGAAACAAAATGACATATTTCTAAGTAACCATGATAAAGAGCAAAAATTAAAAGGGGAAATTATTTTAAAATTATTTCCCCTTGAATTTTGAAATAAATTGTTTTGAATTATTTTGAATTTTGAAATAAAATTATTTCAAAATTATTTTGAACTGAACTGACTTTAAAGCTATAGTGACTGACTTTGTGGTGCTGGCAGCAAGATAGACAGACACAGATCAATGAAAGAGAAGGATATGGTCATCTGAGTTTCAACAGATGCAAAGGAAATTCAATGAAGACAAGATAGAAGAAATGCTGCTGGAATAGATGGATATCCACAGGCAGAAATGAGCTCTGAACAATTTGTCAAACCATC